TTGTCTGCTTGGATTCATAACTTGCCTTCCAGTACCTTCATGTTGGCTGTCATATTCTTCATTATTATAGTCTCCTTGAATAGTCAATCTCCAAACACATAAGCATTCTTATTGTGGTACCCAAAAGTATCTAATGCCTGGCGTCATATAAGTTGATGTCTTTGCTTTTTAAGATAGTTTATTGTATTATTTGGATGGGAAAACAACCTTTCCTCTTAGTGTTTAAAAGAAAAGTAGAACATAGGGGCCGGCCCGGTGGCACACTGCTACAGTGCGCCGCTTGGGAGCGCGGTAGCGCTCCCACCAAGGGTTCGGATCCCACATACAGACCGGTTCCGCTCACTGGCTGAGCGAGGTGCGGGTGCAACACTGAGGGTTGCGGTCCCGGTCCGGTACGGGCACAACACTGAGGGTTGCGATCCGTTGCCGGACACGAAAAAAGACAAAAAAAAAAAAAAGAAAAGTAGAACATAATCTGTTCCGAAGTTTGGGGTCCTTTGGGAATTTGCCAGTGCAAACTCATTGTCACCCACACTCTGGGGCCAGGATGTGAAGGTTTGTGTACCACCTCCTGATAGTATTCTAGGCATCCAGAAACTTTCCTGGGCCATCTGGCTCTTCCTGGCTGCTCCAGAATTGGCTGTCTTGAAACCACTTTTCACCAAATTGCAGAATTGGTGTATCCTGATCTTACCTGTGAGATGATTTTTGGTACAGCCAAAGTCATTATCATGTTATTCTGTTAAACGGTTCTATAATTCTTCTTCCTGTTCCTCATTCGGATTCTGTACCCAGTTTCTTTAAATGCTGTTATGCTCCTCTAGAACAATGGAATCTTTCAAAATGAGAACAAGATTTAAGTTTTTGAAGAAGGGGAATTGGGAGTTAAGTTTTAAGAGTTTATTTTAGTTTTAAAGGTCTGCTGTGTTAGAGTTCAGCCTTATAAAACCAAGGTCACAGGTTCAGATCCCCATACCTGCCAGCTGCCAAAAAAAAAAAAAAATGATACTTAAATGTCTACTGTGATCTGCTGTGGAATAGGCAGTTTTTCTCTTTAGACTCCCAGTACCCTTGTTTAGAGGAGGTAATAAATTACTTCACGGAAAACTTCATTTTTTTGTTTTATAGTATTTGTTAAATAGATAAAGCAACTTTCCTTAACAAAGGCAATTTATGTGGTAATCAATTTTTTTTTCCTTCTTTTTGGCTCCCCTTTGGGGAATCAAACTGTCTCCCAGGTAGTAAACACTTAAAACAATGGTCCTTAACCTTTTGGTATCTCAGATCTCTTTCAAAAGGTAATGAAGCCTTTTCAAACTCTTTCAACTTTGATGTAATTTCAGAGGTTCAGGAACTCCCAGTTAAAAACCTTTGAAGTAGGGGCCGGCCCGGTGGTGCACTGGATAGTGCGCCGCTTGGGAAGCGTGGTGGCGCTCCCACCCGAGGGTTCGGATCCCACATGCAGACCGGTTCCCGCTCACTGGCTGGGCGAGGCGCGGGAGCAACACCGAGGGTTGCGATCCCGTTGCCGGTCCCCGGTCCGGTACGGGGGCAACACTGAGGGTTGCGATCCATTGCCGGACACGGAAAAAGACAAAAGACAAAAAAAAAAAACCTTTGAAGTTAAGCTGAATTCTAAAAGTTAATAAGAAATAAAGGAGGATGTTAACTAGGTGGGTGAAAAAAAGAATACAATAAACAGGGTAAATGGATATATGCATGAACTGAAGATGATATTTCTGCTCTTGCCTCTGAGCACTCCTAGATTGCTCACTTAAGAAGTTGCATCACCACCCACCCACACACACACACACACACACACACACACCACGATTTAAATAGTGTGGGTGATTCCCACACAGTGAGTATATGACTTGTGATCATGAGAGAAGGGAGAACTCATCTACCATTCCCCCAGTCTGATTTAATTCTGTGTGCCTCTTCTTAAATGGGATTCTGATCTTTAAAGTTAAATGTTTTTCCCTGTAACATGGACCCTAAATGCAGGCCCAATACTTCTAGCTAATCTTGTACCAAAGAAAGAGTTATCTGCTCTGTTGCAGTGGGAGATTGGCTGTCCAGGGCTCAGCTGGTCATTCTACCTGTCACTTTCCCTAGGAATTTTTAAGGGTAATTTTGATCTAACTTGATTTTGGTCCTATTCTAAGGACCTTACTGCTACTGCCTGTTGGCTTTCATGCAGGGTACCACATTTTTGGAAGGATGTGGTAAACCAGACGGAACCCTAGAAAGACTGACCAGGATGGTGGATAGATGTTAGCAACGGGTGAAGAAACCAGACAAGGGATATGAAACCTGAAGAAAATGCCAGGAAACCAGTCCGGCTCCCCCAAATCTCAACTCAGCTCATTGTCAGGAGGTTAAACAAGAGGCTGTCTAAAGTCCAGATAAGAGAATTAACCTTCAACTGGAACAAGTGCTTGCTAAGATATTATAAGCAGACACTTATAATATCTCAGAGGAAAAAGAGTTGAACCAGATGACTTACAAGATTTATTCATTCAGTAAATGTTTGCTGTTAAGCTCACTGTGTACCAGGTACTAGAAGAATGTGGAAGAATAAACTCAGTACTTGCTTTCACTGTCTATTGGAAGAGGCACAAATAACTAAAATGCAGTGTATGTGCTTTAATAAAGTTGCTAAGGGAATGCTTGGGGATCACAGAGGAGGAGTGACCATCTTGGCACCAGAGGCACCGCTGTTAGGTAGGCTGTGAAGAAGAGCTGAGGTTTGAATTGGAAAGATACTCAGCATGTTCAGGCAGAGGAGGGTGTAAGCCATTTCAGGCAGGGGAAGCTGGAATTCTGAGAGAACACATGGTCGAGAGGGGCTTTGGCATCAGATTTTGCTACTTCCTGGTGTTGGAACCTCAAAAGGGTTCTGAGTTCCCTGAGCTGTCAGCCTCTTATCTGCTAATGCAGAGTATATACAGTAACCCTCAGCTTTGCAAGTTGGGAGAATTTGAGATGATGTGTAAAATATCTAGACACGATGTTTGATCATTTGTAGCTAGAAATAATTTTTATTACTTTTTTATTTGATATGGGCAAAGACCTCTAGAAAGAAATGGGTAAGGACTAATTCCACCTTGTTGTTAGGGAAGAATGGGGAGCCCGAGTGATTCTCCTCTCTAGCTCTAGGCAGAAGGTACTTCCACATTCCTACTCTAAACTGGTTGCTTTGTTGTATGAGTCAGTTATCTTTCCAAATTTCCCTTTCTGGGAATTGAGGTAATTCTCAGCAAGGAGGAGAAAGAAACTGGCTGCTGCCCCATCCTGGTTTCAGTATTGTGGTTTCATTGACTTAGATTAAGATTGGTTTAGTTGATTAAGACTGGCTTAACACTTTTTTTTTTTTTTAGATTAACATTGATTTAACACTTTTTTTTTTATGAGATGACGAATAAGGGGGTCTTAACCCTTGGCTTGGTGTTGTCAGCACCACGCTGAGCCAGTGAGTGAACCAGCCATCCTTATATAGGATCCAAACCCATGGCCTTGGTGTTATCAGTACCGCACTCTGGAGTGAGCCACGGGCCGGCCCTGGTTTAACATTTTTAAAACAAATATTTAACAAATGGATAAATAAAAGTAAATCGCACCTCAATTTTGTGTTTGGTTCAGAGTTAAATACTTTGTAGGATAACATAGGCTCTAGGGTCAAACTACTTGAGTTTGGCCATCTCTGCCACTTACTTGCTGTGTTATCTTCGGCAAGTTTCTTAACCCCTCTGTGCCTTATCTGTGAAATGGAGATAAGAAATCTACCTCAGGATTGCTTTAAGACTTAAATGAATTAATTTGTGAAAGGTGCTTAGATCAGTACCAGATACAGAAGTACTCAAAGTTAGCTGCTCTTTCATTAGCCTCAGTGTTGTTCTCCTCATTCAAGGTATTGCAGCAAGTTAAGATGAAGCTGGAGTTTCAACCACGCCCTAGAACCCTAACAAACAAAAATAAATCTAATAACAATACTCGTTGTAATTACATCTTGCTTTATACAAAGTGGTCCTATGTCATTTTTTTTTTTCTTCTCATTTTGATCTCATAACAACCCCTGAGGTAGGTGAAGAGATTCCTGGTGGTGCCATTTTTATAGATGAGTAAACTGACACTCAGAAAGGGGAAGTGACTGACCCAAGAGGGGACTGATGATGACCCAGTCTCTGCCTGCCCTGTGTCTTACCTTTTTCAAGGTTGATGGTGAAAAATTCCTAATAGAAGGCCCAGGCACACCTTCAGAGGTTTGGTTAAATAAAGCAGCATGTGGAATGGACACGCCATATATAGTCCTTACCTCATTTGGAGCCCAGAATGGATAAGGCCCCGTCCTCCACCCCAGATCTTGCTTTGTCTGAGAATTTGTCCCTAAGGCAATTAGGATAAAGAGCAAATAGCAATTTGCCAAATGTTTTTAGCTCTAGTGAACTTAGGTTTATTAAAGCACATTGTTATTTATTCCTTGAGCAAACACAAGTCCCAGCTGTGTCCTGGGCACTGGGTGAGGCACAGCGGCACCACAGATGCAAATTTGGTCAGACTAGGAGGGATCCTCTTCTGCAGACCTTAAGTCAGTGTATCGTAGCAACTCCTTTGGTCCTCATCGTCGTCATTTGTTCTTGCCCCAAGCTTCTGTCTGTATTTTTATTAATGTTATATTTTCCATGTCCTGTACTATGATTCAACTCACAACCTTTTTGGAAAGAAGGACTAGATACAGGAAAGGAAAATCAGCTGCAATGGTGGGGTTTTTTGTTGTTTTTGGATTTTTGGCATATGGCCAGAACAGGGAACCATCGAACTCTTGACCTTGATGTTACAGGGCTGCTCTGTAACCAACTGAGCAACCTGGCCAGCCCTTCAGCTGCAATGTTTCTTAATTGCTCTTTTTCTCTCTCCTTTTTCCCTACACAGTCTTGTGTTGACCTCTGAACAAATCTTTTGACATGCTAGCCAGCCATCAACCTAGGTCCTGGAAGATGGCAGACGTGTCCAATGGCGAGCCCTGTACCTCTCCTCTGGAGCTGTTCAACAGCATAGCTGCTCAGGTGGAGCTTGTGAGGTCCCTCAAAGCCACAAAGGCAAAAGAGGTACCTGATTTTGTTGGATTCTACCTCCACACATGCATCTAAGCCTCCCAAGTCTATACGGTTGTCTTGCTTTAGGGTAGACTGTTCTAGGATTCAGTTCCTTCAGTGACTGAGATGTTTTGGTTATAATTTTAAACATATTTTTTCTTTTATCAACATTATGATGGCCGTGCTCTAAAAGAGTCAATGGTCCTCAAAGCCTCTGTGAAATATAGCGGTCCTTTGACCCACCTTTCTCCATGTTCTGCTCCCAGACACAAATATTTTCAATTCCGTTAGCTGATTCTTTGGGTATGTTCCCCCCATCTCTAAATATCATGCTTATTATATTGCTACTTGTTAATCTTCAGGTTTGGGGCTTTCACTGTAGAAATGAGGAATTCGCACTGTTAGAAACACCTGCTGTCAATGTATACTGGGAGACTGGAACTCCATCCAGCCTCCCAGTATATATTGTAATTGTAGTTAGGTCAGTATTATTATTGACATTATAATAACTCTATATGTAAACACTATAGATACCTGAATGTAATATGAGTACTTTTTCTTTCCTGTCCAGCTTGTTTTCTCTGGCATTAATGTTTGTCTTAATTTTTGTTTGCTTGGCTTTTTTTATGTACTAATGATAATGTATCTCCAAGCTCTCGCCCAGTTAGATGAATCTCCTCTCAACATACTCACATTAACTACCCTATCAAGTTTATCTTCTTGAAGAAGTCCTTCCCAAGACCTTGTGCCTGCTTCCCCTCTGGACTGGTGGCCCTTGCCTCTCATGCTGCCCGTCCTGGGGTCCTCTTTTACTGTCAGCCCAGGGGCTCTCCTCACCTCTGTCTGTTGTGCCCCTGTTTCCTGATCCTGTGTCATATTCCTCCTAGCTTCACTCTGTTTTGGGAGAGCAAACATTCCAATGATTTCTTAAAAAGTTAGTGCAAAGGGAATATTTTTTTTTTGAGATCTTACACATCAGAAAACATGTTTATTTTACCTAAAACTTGACTGATAATGAAGCCAGGTATAGAATTCGGGATGATTTCCCTATGATTCTGAAGCTGTTCTCCAGCATCATCTAGTTTCTGGGGTTGCTGTGGAGAAGACAGATACCATTCCTCTGTTTTTTCTCTCTAGAGGTTGGCAGGACCTTCTCTTTTTTTCCAGTTTTCTGAAATTTCTTGGGATGGGGGCTCAGTGCACCTTTCAAACTAGAAACTTAATTCTCAGAAATCATATTACTTCTTTGAACTCTTCTGTTTTCTCTCTTCTCTCTTTATAGACTTTTTTTACTGAGAAACTATTCCTCTGATTTTCTTATTTTTTGACTTTGTGTTCTTCTTTCTGAGGTATTTGTTCAACTCCCAGCCCTCCTCTTTTTTTTCATTTCTCCTATTAGTTTTAACTTCCAAGAGCTTGTTTAATCTCTGAATTTTCCTTTCTTATCACATCCTCATCTGATTTCATGAGTACAGGACCATCCTTTTATCTCTGGGATCTTGATGACAGTTCTCCTAATGTTCTTTGCCCCCTTTATAATCTCAGTTTTCTCTAAGTTAATTTTTTTTCCATCTGCCTCAAATGGTTGTTGTCTCTTGGCTGTCCGCTGGTGTTTTAGAGGGAAGCACTAAAAGCTATTGGGTACTCTGTGCATGGGGGAGGAATTTAATCAATGTAGGTTTGTGGGGGCGCCTCCCACTCATAAGATTAAAGCCTGATAAAGATCTTTTAATGAAACACGGTGTTTGCAGGGCCTCATCGTGAAGGGATGATGGCAAGGCCTCATCGTGGGAGAAGATGCTGGCATTCCACCCTGATATTCTGGTGCTCTGTGTGCTTGTTATGCTTTATTATATTTTATTCTTTGCTGCCTCATAATTATCACTCTGGGAGACTTGGAAGTAGGATTCAAAATTATACTAAAATATTTAATCATACTAATGATACTTATGATTATGGATTTTCAGGAGATGGCTTATGGCAGTGGGGCCCAGAAGGGGACAACGAACCTATGTAGGCATTCGTCTTGTCTGGTGCCTGAGAGTCTGGCCTGGCTGCTTGGAAGGAGTTAATGTACAATCTTTTGTTTTACAATAGAAGTAGAAGTTAAGTTGTAAGCAAGTTAATTTTTAGAGTGTTTATTTATTTATTTATTTATTTATTTA